GACCGACCGACCGACCGACCGACCGACCGACCGACCGACCGACCGACTTTCTTACGGACTGGGACTCCGGCCGCGTAGTGATAAGCAAGGCCAAATCAGACAGACTGGGGCAGGATCGGGTGGGTCACCTCCGTAACCGAGGGGACGACGACTGGTGTGTTCCTGTTTCCCGGGCGGACAGTAGGTACTCCGGGGCTTTGGTTGTCCCCGGTTGCTCTCCATGAGTACGCGCGTACTCAGTGTGTGTACCCCGGTGTCCCCCGAAAATTCGAGTCGTCGACCCCTCCGTAACATTGTCTGGCCGACTTTCGACTCCATGCCCTTGGTATAGTGATGTGAGAATCCGGCTATGGGCCGACTGACTCGTTGCTCGATAAGTGACATAGCTAGCACCCATTCGTGTCCGAGCGATGCGCGCGTGACGCCCGAGTGACTGACGCGGACACGCTCTGAACTGCTTGTGACAGGTGGCTGATTAAAACACATTTTTAGTTATACTGTACCGTATACAGGTGCGCGGGCGCGCGTGCAGGTTGCTTAAGTTACCCGACTGGGATCGTGGCCGTAGACGATAGGCAAACCCACCCGCACACCTGCTTGCGGTACAGTTTACCTGCCCAAGTAAGTGCGCGGGGGTTAGGCTTTATCAGCGACCTGAGTTGACAAGCCACTCACACTCACGTGCGTTCGTCTGAAGCGAGGTCTGGAGCACCTTTAATAAAACAGGGTCACCACCTCGATTGCTCACACCCGCGTGCTTTCTCTCCGCCCCTTTACTCCTTTAAACTCAAACCGTCTCGCCATTTTTGCTTCCGGCTTCATGGAAACACCCCATCTCGACGCGCGCCCGGCGCCGACACCGCGCTAGCCTCGACGCGGCGCGGCGGCGGCGGCCCGCGGTGGCCTTGCCCAATGCCGCGCTGTCGTCCGGCTGCAATGTCAAGAACACTTTCGCCCCGGGGCAAACATTGACTCGCACGCAAAAATAATGTGTATATGTTTATTTCCTTTACTTATCCGCGGCCGACTCGCGGCTGCAGCAGCACACGTTACCGTCGCGTGCAAACAGCAGCCGAGGCACCAGGAAGGCGCTGCCGTATTTATATCACAATAGCCGGCCGGCCTGGCGGGCCCGCGGCGCGAACGCGCTGCCCTAATTGCATAAACGCATGCGTGCGGTGCGGAGTGCATCGCAACAGCGTGTCCCGGGTGTCTCTTGGAATGCGCTCCACAGTGGCAATTTTAAAGTCCGGTTATTATTTGTTTTCGGAAAATATCGGAACCTTGCCAGAAAAAAAAAATAGAGAAAATCGCAGTACTTTCA